ATGTGACTCTGGTTTTTGCCTTTCTTCACAAGCTGGTGTCAGTTGCTCAGGATTATTTTAAGGTATGTTTGTCAAAGATTGTTTTTCTTTTTAATGAAAACATGATACATGAGTGTTATTGATTAATTTTTTATGATTATTACTTTATGTATACAATTATTTTAACCCATTTCTGCAGGGGACATGTATTGTTGACTATAGTTTTCATTTAGGAACTTTTATTACTCATAGATAACTCCACAAGTGCTCAGCCACAGAGGAGCCAAAGTAGTAGGCCTTCTTAACATCACCTGATTTCTGCCCTCCTGGAAGTTTTTGGGAAAATGTTTTTTCTAATGCTATTAATGTTATCTTTATTTTTTGATATAGTATATTAATATTATTAACAATACTAATGGCAATAAAAGCTAACAAATAATCTTACAGGAAGCCATGGAAAAGATAGGTAGAACTAGTCACTGATCTATGTGTAAAGAGTTAATAAAAAAAGAAAATAAATAAATAAAATAAAGACTTGGACACGGCATGCATTTTTACCATCCTGGCATCAGTGGGTTAAAGTTGTTGTGGATATCATCCAAGGACTTGAAAAAACTTACATTATGTTAGCTCACCAAGCTTAATTGATATAAAGGTCATTATGAATGAATTGGGTTTGATGTAGTAGGAAACAAGTGCAGTTCGGTCTGAAAAGATTTAATGAGTGCTCAAAGATGGTTCAGCAAAGATCATCCAGAACAGACTGAAGTTTCCTCATTAGATTTCTGGATCACCCAACAGTGGGAGTTACAATAGTCACAAATGAAAGGAATCTAAGTTTCCTGAAGCTAAGGGATGACTTTAAGAAGAGGGAAGGGGGGAATTTTGTGTTATTTTAGTTTGAATATAATCTTGTATTGAAAGCTGATGTATAGAATTATTAAATTTGCCAGATTGATTAAAAGTATTAAGGTATAAAGTTTCAACTTCCCTCATTTTTGATAATAATCTTTATATAACATGTTTTCTTTTCTTTTTCTGTACAATCTGTGTCATCAGATTCTCTTCATTCTGCTTTCTTATTCTTTTTCTGTACAATTGCTAATGCGTTGATAAAACCTCCACCTATCTGAACCTCGGCAGGAGCTGGAAGAAGAAAGTATCCGGGACAATTTTGTTATCATATATGAATTGCTGGATGAATTGCTTGACTTTGGCTACCCTCAAACCACGGACGTCAAGATTCTGCAAGAGTGAGTTTTTGTGTGTTTGTTAGAGTGAGTGTGTCAGGGTAGTCACTGAAAAACAAATTTTGTATGTGTGCATGATTAAGATAAGAGAGTAGTAAACTGATTACCATATGTATATAAATATTTTTTTCTCTCTTTTTAAGAAGATACTTTTTTCAGGTTTAGACCATAAATGAATATTGTAATGTATGTATAAAGATGATGAAGAGAGGAAATACTAAACTATGACATTTGGGACCATGCTAGACCTCTCCTCTGATGGAAAAAATAACGTAATAGTTTTTCCTTCTGACTAGTCTAGTTATTATTTGTATATTTTGTGATGCAAGATACATATGTATGTTACTTTATACATGTTCTAGTTACTCTGACTTGTCAAACAATGAAAAAAAAAGTTTTTTAGACTTATATCACATTATTCAGAGTTCAATAGGGACAGGTGTCTGTGTGAAATGAATATTTAAAAAGTTATTATTTGCATAATATTTTATTTTTTCTACTAGGTACATCACTCAAGAGGGTCACAAGTTAGAGATTGCTCCTCGACCACCAATTGCAGTAACCAATGCTGTCTCGTGGCGGTCTGAAGGAATTAAGTATCGCAAAAACGAAGTATTTCTGGATGTTATTGAAGGTGTCAATCTCTTGGTAAGTCATTTTTGGTATGTTGCTACATATATCTTTAGATCTATGTGAAATCATTGCAATACTGTCCTTATTTCTTTCATATGAACTTATTTAATTATGATATTTTTCCATTTATAAGTTACATGTATGTATGTGTTCATCAGTATCTGAAAGTTGTTACTCCGTGATTCACAAATGTTTGATTCATTTTCTGTTCCCAGGCGAATTCTAATGGTAATGTGCTACGTAGTGAGATTGTAGGCAGTATCAAGATGCGAGTGTATCTATCTGGAATGCCGGAACTGCGTCTTGGGCTCAATGACAAGGTTCTGTTTGAGTCCACTGGCAGGGGCAAGAGCAAGAGTGTGGAGCTAGAGGATGTCAAATTCCACCAGTGTGTCAGGCTGTCCAGGTTAGCTGATTTAGTTCATAGTTCACCTATCCAGGTTCCTTGTATCTATATTTCATATCTTGGAAATAAGAACAAAAAAAAAAGATTGGAAAGTGGTTTTCTCAGATTTTGAGTTTTTATATATTATTTACAATGATTTTTTCTCCTTGTCAGGTTTGAGAATGACCGTACTATTTCATTTATTCCCCCTGATGGGGAGTTTGAACTCATGTCATACCGGCTGAACACACATGTAAGTTTTTTTCCATTGTCAGATGATTGTGATAATATTCAGCTTTAAGATTTGACTGCACTCAAAATTTCTCTTCATACTGATTTATATTTTTTACTTGTAGATGTTTTTATCTTTTTGTTATGGGACATTGCCACAAAAAGGAGCAGAACAACTGTAATAAAAATACTGACATGAAATATAATCCTCAGGTAAAGCCATTGATCTGGATAGAATCAGTGATTGAAAGGCATGCACACAGCCGAGTGGAGTACATGGTCAAGGCCAAGTCCCAGTTTAAGAGGAGGTCAACAGCCAACAATGTGGAGATCATAATTCCAGTCCCCAATGATGCAGACTCCCCTAAATTCAAGACTTCAGTAGGATCAGTAAAATACACCCCAGAAAAGAACTGCATTGTGTGGACCATCAAGTCTTTCCCGGTTTGTATAATGATAATCCAAAAAGCTTGTTGTTTTAGGACATGATTTGGCTGTTGTCATTAATGTTGTTTTGACATTTAGCTTTTCATGTAGTTGTGATCAACAAATGCTGCTATTTCAAGGTATCTGTTGATCAGACAATGTAGAAGGGTAGAGGGCTCATAACTTGTTTGTATTTTCTCAACAGGGTGGGAAGGAGTACCTAATGAGAGCACACTTTGGACTTCCAAGTGTTGAGTGTGAGGACTCTGAGGGAAAACCCCCCATCCAAGTGCGCTTCGAGATCCCTTACTTCACCACCTCAGGGATCCAGGTGAGACAATGGCCATTGAGCACTTCTTAGACTTTATATTGTGTTATAGAACATGAATTCTTTGTAGGATTGTTTTATTCTTCCAATATTTTTTCTCTCATCCCTACCTCCCTCCTTTACTCTTCCCCTCTTCTCTCTCAAATACACTAAATAAACATTTGTGGTTCTTCCAGGTGAGGTACCTGAAAATTATTGAGAAGTCCGGCTATCAAGCTTTACCATGGGTGCGATACATCACCCAGAATGGAGATTACCAGTTAAGGACACACTAGAGAAAAGCATTACACTAGCAAGCCTTTGTTTCTTGAGGTAACAGAGTGTATGATGCCTTTGTGTATTGAAGGGTTACTGCTGAACAAAGAATAAGCTTGTTGGAAAAGTTATTGGGAGAAAAGTCTGGGGGCCATATAGTGACCATAAATAATGTCCTTTTTTTTTTTGTTTGTTTGTTATTCAAAAGTGTAATGATGATGAGAAATTCTATTATTGAGATGTCAGCTGCATTGGGCTTCTTTCTTACAACTGATAAAAATGTTTTTGTTATTAAAATGTTTTTCTTATATTTAGCAATTCATAAGGCAAATAATCGTTTAATTTCTACTTGGTATTTCTTTTTCATTTGAGTCTCTTGGCATCTCTGGTAACCGTAAGAATGAAAAAAAAGGTAAAAAAATTAAATCCAAAACTCCAGTGATTTGTATTTGGAATCAGCTGTGCATTTAGCTGATATTCATATATGACTTTGCTCTGTAATTTTCCCAATTGATGCAAAGGATATTTTCAGTGGAAGTATGTGGAGAGTTATAAGATTTGTGTTGATTACATTCCATATCTTTCAGCCTTTACCAGTGTCAGGAGGACAACTATTTAGAAACATTTTATATTCTGAAGTGTGCATAAAAAACAGATTTTGCAGTCGTGTTTAATTAGCTTTAAGGAAATTTTCACAATTGGCTTCATTCACAAAGGGCTAGACAGATTGTTTATTAAGTTATAATTATTGTAGTTTTTTCCTCATTGTTTACTAACAAGAGAGTGGATCTTGCTTCATATTTAATTATTTTGAAAGCTTTAGAATTTGTATGAAACTTTATATGATAGATACTTCAGCCAGTGATAATGTTTGAAGTTAGTTTGTGTATAGTCTGTGTTTAAGAATGTATTTCATAATTATATATAGGTTGACTGTAAAGACTTTGAAATCCACTTGAAAAATATGATCATATAATTAAACATAACATTTCCTAATATATAAAAAAAATAGATATATTCAAAGATCATATGTATATAGACATTTATTAGAGGTAAAGTAAATTTTCATCCAAATTTATAGAAAACTATTTTGAAAAAAACGTGTTTGCGTGGAGCTCCTTTTTAGATCATTGTATATATTTTAAAATAAATGTTTTTTGAAAGATGAAAATTTGTTATGATCTTGGTTGCGGTAGTTGCTTCTTGGCTAGTTGTGATAAAAGGTTAGTGCTTATGTATTGTTTTAGTTTTGCTGATATTCTGACTTTTAGCAACCCGTTAACTATCCTGTGTAAGTCTTGGAATTGTCTTAAACTGGCTGGTATGTTATTTATATAAACTTCCAATCACTGATGTAATTGTTTTATTACCGTGACTTCCTTGATTAATTTGCTATTTCGTGATTATATTTACTACTCGTATCCTGCCAAGAGACAGTAGCTATCTCTGTTTGCATTCAGTTGGATTTTTTTTTTTATCTATTTTGCTGTTCTTTAATAAATTATCTCTTACA